CCTTCCGGGAGTCGGCGTCCATTTTGTGTTGCGTCGCCATTGCTGTGTGTGTCTGCACCCAACTGCTCTTTGGCTTGATTGAAGGTGAGGCATCTTGTATCATTTGCTGTGTGCTCAACAAAAAGGTTGTCCATTTGTAAACAAAGGTTATTATGTTGTTGAGCTTCTTAGAAGATGTATAGTATCGCATAATGTTGCCCGTCGTTGGCAGAAGTGCGCCGGTATCGTCTATCCAAGTCAGAATAGCTATATGTTTGGGACTTAAGCTAGCTTGTGGCAGGAATCTATCACTTTATTCAACTTTAATTTAATCATTTTCCAGATTGGTATGCCTTATGATAATAATAATGTTAATATTCGTTTTTTTCACCCATTACAGACTTTGAAGAATGGGGCCATGTATGTCCTGGCCTACCTGCACCCCGCGACTGCCGCCGGTGCAGAGCTAATGAAAAAATCACAAATGTTTGATGGTGGTTATTTAAGAAACCTTATTGAAAATTATTCAGTTAGTTGTTGTTGTTGTTGTTGTTGTTGTTAAAGTTATAGTTATTGTCCTGGCGTTGTTATTGTTCTCGTTCTCGTTCTCGTGCCCGAATAAATGTGCTGCAGCGCTACTCAGTCTGTTTACTTGCGGGTGGCGGTCGAGAGTCGGGGGCACTGGTCGACGGAATTCCGTCGACCGTGCCTCGACCCCGAAGGCCAGTAGTGGTACTAGTTAACTAGTGCCACTACTGGCCTTGAGCTAGTACCATTACTAGCCTTGGGGGCTAGTACCATTACTGGGTATCGATTAGTAGGCAGTGGCTAGTTACCTTACCAGGCAGGGGCTGTTATGACACCTAGTAGACGCACTACCCACGCTATTTACGTGCGTGTTGTCAAACTAGGTGGAGCACGGTGGTCGTATGCATACGAGGCACAGCCTTGTCGAACAAGCTTGTTACTCGGCAACTAGCCTAAAATTAGCCAAATTTACACGCTCCTGCAATGTTATTTTTGCGCTGAGAATTCCTCTACGAGGAGCTTGTAAGTTTTTTTTTACAGTGTACCTACGTTCGCGGCTGGAAAAACACCAATACAGGGGATGGTTAAAGGCCGGCATCTGGTCTTCAGAATCCAGTGCGGGGCCCTCAGAGGCTAATATGGGCCTTTACAGGCCAGCATGGGGCCTCAGAGGTCAGTGTGGGACCCTCAAAGACCGGCATGGGCCAGCAGGGTAGCGCGCTACAAGGCCAAGGATGTATTACAAGTAGATTAAGGTCAATAAAAGCCGTTTTTAGATCAAGAGGACGCGCCAAGAGTAAGCTGACCATGCCTCCTAAAAAGAGGCAGCGAGCATCACCTACCTATTCGATTTCTGGTTCAAGGAGCAATCATAGTAAGTTTAACTCTGGCATTTTGCAGTCTTCTTAAAATTTTAAATGTATGTAGACTAGAGATGTCAATCGGATACCAACTTTTTGGTATACCGATACCAAACTGATACCAACTTGGTATTTGGTATTTTGATCCTAATGTTGTTGGTATTTTGTTGGTATTACGAATCCGGCTAATGTATAAGAGGATACGAATTCGGTAAAAAGTTGGTATTTCCCTCATGTTCCCAAGTTGGTTTGGTTTCGGTATTTTCCTGGTTTTGGTTGGCATTTGGTTTGGTATCGGTATCCTGATTTTCCGTTATTGATATCACTAATGTAAACAATAGGCATACCTATAAGGTGAAATACACACGAAATACCATATCACACACGACAAACGTTAAACTATAAATGGCACAGTTGGTTGACTGTGAAAGTGACATAGGCCTTAACCCGCCCCCCCCCCCCCCAGTTGCAGGTGAAAATGGTTGCACCCCAAAACAAGTGACTGGATCTGCCCTTGGGCAGGGGAGCGGCGAAAAATTTTGCCCACCCAGTGAAAAATCCTTAGAGGAGGCCCTGAGCAGGCCTCGGCGGTTTAGGTCGTTATGGCACCGCGCAAAGCTTCGGTGAGCCACAAAAAAAGAAACTGTCACATGGCAGCATCCCACGTAATTGCCACACAAAACTGTGACGAGTGACAGTCGCTGCTGTCATCATACCTATATCACTCGGAAATGTCACTGTCAAGTGCAACACTCCACTGCTACTGATGCCACTGTCCCATGACTATCACTGTCACGTGCCACTGTCACGTATAACAGCCACATCACAGGTTCTGACGTCAGAGCGGTATGACGGTCATCACACCGGCGGCGTTGACAGGCACGTCACCTGACAACTGTCACTCGACACTCGGGCCGTCATTGCGACGCCACCGTGACAGATGGCGGCGGGATGACGTGATAAATGGCGGCGGGATGACGCCATGGCGTGGCGTGCTAATTATGACTGTCATATACAATGGAGGACGCTGCAGGCGGAGTATTTAGGGCTTAGATGTATATGTAATGGGGCGTTTGACCGCATTGGTGTGATGCTGCTGTATTTGTATTTGGTTTGCTATTTGGTTGGATATTTCAGAAATCGTCGATTGGTATTGTCGGGCTAGAAGATCTCTTTTTTATTAAGATAACAGAACCTAAGAGTCGAACTTTTAAGACGACCGTCTGAATTCGACTACCTTTTGATGAACTCGTATTCTACGCTCACCTTGCTTCTGTGTGGTTTTAAGCTTTTTTACGACGCCGCAATGTGCGTCTTAGATAAGAAGCTGTTTTCACTACAAAGTTCGATTTCAAAATCGTCTTCCCAGCTCGTTCTCTTTCAGTATCGGCGGATGCAGAAAAAACGCCTAATTGCACGGCTCACTGCCTATGGCCTGAATTCGACTGCCCTGCTGGCGCGCTGAGAGGGCAGATAACCTGAATTCCTCCAGGAAAGCTATGCAAAAGTCCCGGACAATGTAAGTGATTTAACAGTGCAGGGCATCAGTATACTTCCATTATGTAAGCATATCACGTTTACGCTGCTATCTCGGTTTCTATATGGCTTCAGTGTAAGCGAATTCACTTCCTAGTTAAGCAAAATGTAATGTCGATGTGACTGATTTTTGCAACAAATTTTGTAATTGAAGCAACAATTCAAATAAAGAACTACTCATCCCCAGAATACAAGTATCTACTGCAAGTTATCGTTAGCCGATATTTCAGTTAGATGCCTAATGATGCTGCCCAATAGGTACTTAGCATGGGTGAAACTTTGACATCACCATTGGGGTCCCAAACGTCCAAGGGGGCCTCCATTTAGTGGGGGCCTCCAAGCAATTAGGGGCCTCCAATTGCGGAAGCGGTAATTTACGAACCACGCCAGGGCCTCCTCTAAGAAATTTTCACTGGGGGACCAGAGGCTCAGAAGCCAAACCTAGGGTACCCCCAAATCCAGTTTTCTCATTGGATTTAGGCCACTTATTTTTCGTCACAGCCCGGATGCCATGATTTTTTTTAAATATTTATAAAGAAAGGGTAGGTCACCTGACCTTACTCATGGATCCAGGCCAGCAGGATGACATTGTATGTAAATATCCCCCGCGTCGACCGAAATCGACGAAAATTTCTGGCTTTTTCACTTTCGACAATAAAACAAAAAGCCTTTATTATAAAAAAGAATTTAACGGCACAGCATTGCGCAAGGAATCTAACCGACCACAGAAAGTGTGAGGGCTAACCCTCGCCCGCACCTGGGGGGAGGGTTGCCACCCCAAGTTAGTTTTTTGCTCTACACTGATCATTTTTTAAGCTAGAAATCTGATTTTTGGATAGCTGCTTTTCTATCTTTTCTCAGCGTCCATTGAAAATTTCAAGTTTCTGTGGCTTTTGGGCTTGGAGATATGATCTTGTTCTTCAGGTCATGTCATGACCTAAATGACGGATACCCAATATCCTGCGTTTGCTATGGGCCTTGTAAGCTTTTGACACCTTGATGTCGTTTTTTTGCCAATCTTACCTCCCACCTATCATTGAACATGTTGTTCTGCCGTCTGCGATGTACAGATGTCAGGGTCAGGGTACATCAGTACATACACAGACATACACAGACATACAAACACATATCATTGACCTTGACCTAACTTGACGTGAAATGACCACAGCCAGCAAATTAGTCGGATAGTGTGACAAAGAGCTGTTCTAGCTGGCTTGGCACCAATACGGCAGCGTCATCGGTATATGATGGGTTGGCCCGCTGCTTGTGTAGGCATTTTATTCGACATCACCACAATTTATTCAAGCAAAATTTTAAGCTTCGCAGTCAAGAGCAACATATTTTTTGGGAAGAGACGAATCCAATGATACCAAATTTTACCTCATCAGGCAGTCATTGACCTTCCAGGTCAGGTCAAACTAAAGAACGTTGCTGTTTGGGGTCACCGTTGCCCGTTGGAATATCACGTGCGCTGCTCATCATATACCGATGACGCTGCCGTATTGTGGTACCAAGCCAGCTAGAACCTCTTTGTCACACTATCCGACTAGGTTTTTGCTGGCTGTGGTCATTTCAGGTCAAGTAAGGTCAAGGTCAATGATATGTGTTTGTATGTCTGTGTGTGTCTGTGTGTATACTTGTTGGAGTTTGTTTGTGCGCCGAATATGTCTCAGGCGCGCCGAAGTTGTATTTATTTATTACTCTGTTTAGTGCTGGATTTCTGTGACTGTATTACGTATATTTAGTTTCTTGTTGAAGAAGCGATCCTATATCTGTAATGTCGGATCGAGTTCGTTGGGTCTCCGTAGATTTAACGTCGAGCCCTCATAAGAGACTAAGGTGTAGTAGTTGTAGTTTACGCGGTCAGTGATGGCGAGTGAGGAGGACCCCCATCACTACAGTTTGATTCTCTTCCGGAAACGTGGTATTGGGAAAATGTAAACAATCGGTTCTGTTGTGCTCTCTTGGCTTTTCCGCAATAAACCCGCACTCTGGGGTCTCCCGGGCGTGTGACGAGGTTGACAGAAGCGGGGGACACAACAAGTGGCGACGAGTATCCGAACCGTGAGTTTTTCCGCGTCATAGTCGTGTGGCGCGATGGATTTCACGGCCGCCCCGGCACCGTTTCTGCCGATCGCCGGCGCTGAGCCGACGGTTCCGTGGCCTCGCTGGATCCGTATGTTCGAACATTTTTTGTGTGCCGTTGGAGGGGATGCGTTCGCTCCGGCACGCCGCCAGGCAGTGCTTCTGACGTGCCTTGGAGCGGAGGGCCAGCGGGTCTACGAGTCCCTGCCGCCCTGTGTTAAGGAGGAGGGGGAGGACGACTTTGCTTTCACCCGTCGTCGTCTGGAGGGGCACTTTGCCCCCAGGCAGAACGTGTGCGTCGAGCGCTACCGTTTCCGTAGCCGAGCCCAGCACCAGGGAGAGACAACGGTCCAGTGGGTCTCCGTACTGCGCCAGCTGGCCAGTACCTGTGAGTACGGGGCCCACACTGATGAGTTCATAAGGGACCAGGTGATTGAAAAGACGATCTCACCTAAGTTACGACAGAGACTGCTAATGGAGGGGTCTGAGCTGTCCTTGGAAAAGACTCTGACGATTGCAGACACCCTCGAGTCTGCAGAGCGGGAGGCACGGGTGATGGAGGCTCCTGCTGCACCGGTCCCGGTGCAGGCCCTGCAGCAGCAGCGGCCTCAGCGTGGTGGGGCCAGGAGCCGCCGCTCAGGCGGGGCCCCTGCCCTGCAGCAACGCCAGCAGCCTCCACCAGGACGCCAGCAGCCTTCACCCCAGCAGCAGCGCCAGCAGCAGCAGCCACACCAGGCTGCGGGTTCCAGCCGGTGTTGGGGGTGTGGGCGTGTGGGACACCGCAGAGGTGACCAGTCGTGCCCCGCCTACAACAGGACCTGTTCCAAGTGTGGGAAGCTACACCACTTTGCCCTGCACTGTGGTGCCACTCGTGTAGTGTCCAGTGTACAAGTGCTCGCTGTCAGTGCCTCACCTTTGATAGTTGATGCTCAGGTGGAGGGACAGGAGGTGACCTTCACCGTCGACTCAGGGTCGCCTGTGTCGATCCTTCCCAGGAGTGTGGTGGGAGGGGACCTGACAGCAACTGATCAGCGCCTGTGTGCCTATGGGGGGAGTGTATTGGATGTTTTAGGGGTTAAAAGTGTACGTGTATCATGTAAGGGGAAAACTGCCAGTGTCACTGTGTATGTCGTGCCTCATGGCCGTGCATTGATGGGCCTGGACATGATGGAGGCGTTTGATGTGTGTATCGTGGGTAACCGTGTGTGTGCTGTTTCCACAGCCTCTTCCTCCCACGCTACTCCGGAACCTGCTGAGCCTCCCAGCCACCCTGCGGAGCCTGCCGACCCACCTGCCTCACCGTCCGGGATCCAGCCTGCCATCCTTGGCTACCAACACCGTGTCACCGTCAGTCCTGAGGTGGCACCTGTGCGGCAGCCTCTTCGCCGGCTGCCCCTGGCAGTGGTTGATGAGGTGAGTGCCAGACTGAAGGAGCTCGAGAGCCAGGGGGTGATCGAGAAGGTGAGTGCGTCCCCCTGGGTCTCACCCCTGGTGGTCGGAAGGAAGCGAGATGGGTCCATCCGCCTATGTGTTGATATGAGGCGGGTAAACAAGGCGGTCATCACTGATGGGTACCCTCTCCCCAGGATCGAGGATGTACTTGACCGTCTGAGTGGCTCTCAGGTGTTCTCCAGGCTAGACCTGAAGGACGCTTATCACCAGCTGGAGCTCCACCCGGACAGCCGTGACCTGACAACGTTCGTCAGTCACCTGGGGTTGTTCCGCTTTACCCGGGTGAACTTCGGGCTCGCCAGCGCTGGACCTTGTTTCCAGAAGGTGATGGCCTCCATGCTGGAGGGGATCCCAGGAGTCGAGGTGTACTTGGATGACATCCTGGTCCACGCTCGCTCTCAGGCCGGGCACGACGCTCGGCTGAAGGCTGTGCTCCAGTGTTTCGATGCCCACAGGGTTCGTGTGAACTGGAGCAAGAGCGTCACCAACCAGAGAGAGATCGGTTTTCTCGGGTACCAGATCTCCGGTGACGGTGTCCGTATCGACCCGGAGCGGCTCCGGCCTCTGCTGGACGCGCCCGAGCCCCGGGACGAGAAGAGCCTCCGCGCCTTCCTCGGAGCCGTGGGCTATCATGCCCGGTTCCTTCCGAGGTTCTCTGATGAGGTCGAGCCTCTGCGCGCTGCGCTCAGGGCAGACGCCTTTGAGTGGACGGCCGCGCTGTCGAGCGCGGTCCGCCGCGTCAAGGACGCGATCAGGCAGGCACCCGCGCTGGGGATGTTTGACGTTTCTCTCCCCACGGTGCTCTCCACCGACGCTAGTGACGTCGGCTGCGGTGCCTGCATCACGCAGGTTGACGCCTCGGGGGTGCCGAGGGTCATCACCTACGCCTCCAAGACCTTCACAGCAGCCGAGCGGAACTACTCTGTGGTAGAGAAGGAAGCTCTGGCCTGCGTGTGGGCGACGGAGAAGTTTCGGCACTACCTGTGGGGGCGCCGGTTCACCCTGCGCACCGATCACCAGGCGCTCTGCACAATCTTCGGGCCGAAGGGCTCCAACCGCGTCGGCCGGCGAGTCGCGCGGTGGGAGGCCCGCCTGCTGGAGTTCGCCTTTGATGTGGAGTATGTGCGGTCCGAGCACAACGGGGTGGCGGACGGCCTGTCCCGCCTCCCAGTAACGGACACCTGGTGGCCGGACGACGATACCATTCAGATCGCCTCGCTCGGAGTGGCGGCGGCGGCCGTCACAGAGGCAGAGTTCCGTGCTGCCTCGGACGCGGACGAGACCCTGCGAGCCGTCCGCGGGTTCGTGGCTGGGCAGTGGCCCCGCCGGAAGGAGATCGACCCGTCGTTGGCTGGTTTCTACCAGGTGCGGGAGGAGCTGTCCCAGCACGGCCAGCTGCTATTCCGCGGTGAGCGTCTCGTCGTGCCGGAGACGCTCCGTGAGCGCGTCCTCAGGAACGCCCATGAGGGCCACCAAGGGGTGGTCCGCACCAAACAGCGCCTGCGCGCGCAGTTTTGGTGGCCTCGGCTGGACCGAGAGGTGCGAGAGCAGCTGAGGGGCTGTCAGGTGTGCTCCCAGCATGACGAGCATGTTCGCAGGGAGAAGCCACCTCTGCAGCCCATTCCCCTGCCAGAGGGCCCGTGGGAGAGGCTGATGGTGGACATCATCGGGCCGATGCACGGTCCGCCGACCGAGAGGTACGGCATCGTGCTCTGCGACCTCTACAGCCGGTGGCCAGAGGTCGCGCTCTGCTCTGACGCGACGGCGAGCACGATCATCCAGTTCTTGGAGACGCTATTCGCTCGCGAGGGGCTCCCGCTCGAGCTCATTTCTGACAACGGCCCAGCGTTCAGATCGGCAGAGCTCCGAGCATTTCTGACGAAATGTGGTGTGCGGCAGACGTTTAGCTCGCCGTACTCGCCGCAGACGTGCGGACTGGTCGAGCGGTTGAACCGCACGATAAAAGGGGCCATTCAGTCGGCTCGGCTGGCGCGGGAGCCGCGCTCACCCTACCTGCGTCGGTTCCTGGGTGAGTACCGCGCCACTCCGCACCCCGCCACCGGGGAGACGCCGTTCCGCTTGATGAGGGGGCGGGAGGCGCGCACGACCCTGGACGTGCTGAAGCGGGACGCGCCCACCGGAAACAGCCGGAAACGCGCGGTACGCCGGCGGCACCGCCGCTATCAGTCGGCGTACAAGAGGAGGTACGATCGCACCGCGACCGCCGCCCCCAGGTGGGAGGCAGGAGACTGGGTACGGGTTCGTAAGCCAGTCAGCGGTCGGGTCGAAGGCCAGCCGGCGGTCCAGATCCGGGAGAGGACCGGCCCTGTGAGCTACAGGGTAAGCACGGGGGACAGAGTGCACGCCAGGCGTCTCGTGCCTGGGCGTGCCACAGAGGAGCCGGTAGTGGAGGAGCTACCGGCCAGCCTTATTCCGGATTCCTCGGTCCCATCTGGGAGCGCTGAGGGCGCTGTCAGTCCGCCCAGAGTTCGCCCTGTGTCACACGCCGCCGGGGAGCTATCCGTGCCTCGGGCGGATCCTCAGACCTCTCCTGTTTCTCCGCGCCGTGGCAGTCGCCGGCGCCGGGCTCCTGACCGGTTCACGCCGGACCGGTACCAGTAGGTAGGTCGAGGGGGCTGTCCCGAGTAGAGTGTGTTCCCTCAAAGGGAAGGGTGGTGTTGGAGTTTGTTTGTGCGCCGAATATGTCTCAGGCGCGCCGAAGTTGTATTTATTTATTACTCTTTTTTTTTGCTGGATTTCTGTGACTGTATTACGTATATTTAGTTTCTTGTTGAAGAAGCGATCCTATATCTGTAATGTCGGATCGAGTTCGTTGGGTCTCCGTAGATTTAACGTCGAGCGAGCCCTCATAAGAGACTAAGGTGTAGTAGTTGTAGTTTACGCGGTCAGTGATGGCGAGTGAGGAGGACCCCCATCACTACAGTTTGATTCTCTTCCGGAAACGTGGTATTGGGAAAATGTAAACAATCGGTTCTGTTGTGCTCTCTTGGCTTTTCCGCAATAAACCCGCACTCTGGGGTCTCCCGGGCGTGTGACGAGGTTGACAGAAGCGGGGGACACAACAATACTGATGTGTGCACCGATTATAATGTGTCCCTATAGCATGAGATCATGAACTGAGAAGCTTTTACCAAATATACAGTCAAAGAAACTTCACGAAAGTAAATTCAGCTCGCCTAAAACGCAAAATTTTTAGATGACCGAGGCTGACCTTGGCCCTGACCCTAGCGTCTCTACATCATCGAACAACATGTTCCATGATAGGTGGGAGGTAAGACTGGCAAAAAAGGCCGAAATCAAGGTGTCAAAAGCTCATAAGACCCATAGCCAACGCAAGATATTGGGTATTTGTCACTTGGGTTATGACATCACCTGAAGAATAAGGTCATATCTCCGAAACCAAAGCCACAGAAACTTGGAATTTTCAATGGACGCTAAGAAAGGATAGAGAAGCAGCTATAGCTATACCAGTGGTCGGCAGGTCATTCGGGGTCGTGCCCCCTTTTTGGGCGCCAGGCAGGGCCATTACCCTCACCTACCAGACCCCATTGCTGACACAACTATGTTTACTGAAATTCCATACTGTGCTGGAACTCTTTGGGTATTTGTGCATTTCCAATGCATCAAATTTAAAACATGACACTTCCTCCACAAAACATTTAATGCCTATATCCCAGTAGCGGCGGAACACCTTCAATTAAGGGGGAGGGGGGAGCACTGCCGACTTTTGGTCCCATTCTTTCCATGCAACGCCCATAGGGCTAATGTTAAAATACAAAAATCAAAGGGTGCACGGTTGGTGCACGGTGCCCCGGTGCCCTCCCCGTTACGCCGCCTATGCTATATCCCATTTAACCCTTGTATGTACGTATAGGGGCGGCGGGTGGTTTTTCGTTAAAAGCTCACGTAAAAGGCATTGGATCACGACCAAATTGTACCCTCGAGCCCATCATTTTTTTTTTCACCAGCCCGGAAAATATCATGACCTGAGACCAGTTTTACCAACAGAAAAATAACCGCCTGCCGGAATTTTTGCCTCAAGACCGCTTCACATACGGAGCGTAAACGCGATGGGCTCGTAAGCGGATGGGGCTTTACCGTTTACGCTCCATATGTGAAACGATCTTTAGGCAAAAATTCCGGCAGGCGGCTATTTTCTGTTGGTAAAACTGGCCTCTGGACCCATAATGACCGTTGGCTTATGAGCTTTTTCTTGAGATCATCTTGAGCCATAAAATCTCACTTCAAGAAGTTATAGCGGGTCCCGATTTTCTCGACACTTATCATTGCCCTCTTGAATGAGACGGAATGACCAAGGACCTTAAAAATGGGCAGCAGCGGCTTCCTATGGTCACGGGTAGCACGCTCGTCTTTTTTATGCACAGCTCCATATCAGAGTCCGAGAGGCCGCGGGGGTCCGATCGACTCCTCCCCCTTACGTTAGCGGCTGTTGAAACGCCAACAGACGGGCGACGGTTAAAAGTTGCAGCTGCTTTTGAACGACTGTACGGAGGGGTGAGATCTGAGATGGTGAGGCGAGCAGGTACGTGAAAATTGGTATCTAATCAATAGTGTGCTGTGCCTTTGTCCTGGGCTAATCTTTGAACCCTGGGATGCAACAGTCACGATGGCTCCATCAATGGAGCTACAAACTCTAAAAAGATAGGCTTTCTCAGAATCCCTCATTACCCCCACCGAAAGGGCTCCATTACCCCCAAAGGGGGCATGCCCCACCATTTGCCGACCCCTGAGCTATACGAAACATCCGGCTTCTAGCAATCAAAATGTTGAGTGCAGAGCAGAAAAAAAACCTGGGGGGGGGGGGGGGTGGCAACCACTACCCTCCATGTCCGGGCGAGGATTAAATAATTTGAATATCAGGAAAACAATTTATTCAAACAGGTATTCCAACAGAGTCCCGCTTTTTTATAGGTGACCTCCGATTTGTGTACCTAGCCTCTAAGTTGCCCAGGGGGCCTCTTATTTGTAGGTACATACAGTACAGAGAGCCTCCTACTTCGACTACTTGCACAGAGAGCCTCCTTTTTGTACATACAGCTAAGCTTCTACAGGTCGAGCGCCGGCCCCCTATTTGTACGTACAGAGAGCCTCCTACTGTTACAGAGGGTCTCCTATTTGTCTAGGGGGCCTCCTATAGGTTAATGGCGCCTCCTATTTGTCCAAGTGGCCTCCTATTCGTCTAGGGGGCCTCATATTTGTCCAGGAGGCCTCCTGTTTGTCCAGAAGGTCCCTATTTATCCAGGGGGCTTCTATTTTCCAGGGGACCTCCTCTTTATCCAGGGGGCCTCCTACGTGTTCAGGGGCCTCCTATTTGTCCAGGGGCCCTCCTATTTATCCAGGGGTCTTCTATTCGACCAGGGGTCTCATAATTGTGCAGGGGCCTCTTATTTGTCCAGAGGTCTCCTACTTGGGCCTCCTTTTTTGAAGGGCCTCCTTTTTGTTAAGAGAACCTTCTAATTGTTCAGGGGCCTCCTATTCGTACAGAGGGCCTCTAGCTCCTACTTGTCCATGGGGGCTCCTATTTGTTCAAGAGGCCCCTTATTTGTACAGGGGGCCTCCTATTTGTCCAGGGGGCCTCCTATTTGTCCAAGCGGCTGTTATTTTCCTAGGGGGCCTCCTATTTGCCCAAGAGCCCTCCTATTTGTCCAGCGGGCCTCCTACTTGTTCAGGGGGCCTCCTATTTGTCCAGGGGGCCTCCTATTGGTTAAAGTAGCCTCCTATTTATCCAGAGGGCTCCTATTTTTAGGGGGCCTCCTCTTTATCCAGGGGGCCTCCTTCTTGTTCAGAGGGCCTCCTATTTATCCAGGGGCCTTCTATTCGTCCAGGGGGCCTCCTATTTGTCCAGGGGGCCTCCTAATTGTCCAGGGGGCCTCCTTTTGTGAAAGGGGCCTCCTGTTTGTCCAGGGGGCTCCTAATTGGCCAGGGGGCCTCCTTTTGTGAAAGGGGCCTCCTGTTTGTCTAGGTCTAGGGCCTCTATTTGTCCAGGCCCAGGGGGCCTCCTATTCGTACAGAGGGGGCCTCCTATGTCCAATACTTGTCCATGGGGCCTCCTACTTGTTTAGGGGGCCTCCTTCTTGCTCAGGGGGCCTCCTATTTGTCCAGGGAGCCTCCCATTTGTCCAACAGGGCCTCCGAATTGTCCAAGGGCCCTCCTATTTATACAGAGAACCTTCTATATGAACATCGGACCTCCGTTTGTAAAGTAGCTGGTGCGTCTCGGGGGCCTCCACTATTGGGGTCCCAAAATGACAATTGGGGTCCCAAATGTTCGCACTGGGGTCCCACATGGGACCTCGAAAGTATACAAAGTTACACCCATGGTACTCAGATAGTTTCACTAAGCTGTTAACAGTACGACATATGCCAAATTTTCTGGGCGTATTCAGCATACTGTTTACAAGTCTAGGGTTGGCGTCTCCCCAATAGTGAAACCTGACCAGGACCAGACCCTCAGCGTGTCATGCGGAGCCGCCTGCTGCGGTGACCATACCAGCCTAGCACCCCAGACCCGGGACCAGAGCTCGGGCGCTGGTGTGCGGCGTCTGGCAGTTCTGCGTCGGGGCCTGGCACCACGCGGCCCCGTCCACCAGAGAAGCCGCGTCACCCGCCTGGCTGCCTGCGTCGGGGCCGTGACCAGGCCGGAGCAAGGGCCGGAGCACGGGTCCCGCAGAGCGCGGCCGTCCGCTCCGAGCCCGTCCTGCACGCGCTGCTCTATCGGGACGCTGCTGGGCCGGTCGGCGGCTCGGACAGCCTGTTTATTTGTGGTCATGCGGCCGCCGCCCACGGCACCGGCGCTGCACACTGTCAACTGCCGGCCGCCGAGTGACGAGTCGCCAGCGACCTCGCATTCAAGATGGCCACCGTGCACAGGACGCGGCGATGGCAGCGCCGCCGAGTGGACGTCTGCAGAGTTATTTTGGCATCCCGTCTGTAACAGCCATCACCTATAGGCACTGTTAGAGGGAGATGTCAGTAATTTAAAAATATTCTGTTTATCAAAGGTCATCAAATGTCATCAAAGGTCACTAAATGTCGCACTTCACAAGTTAAGCATTTTTTGTCGCGTGCATTTGGCGACCATTAGGTATTTCGTGATCTAATAAAGATGATAATGCAAAGGAGGCATTTGATGGCCATCGCTTCAGTCCTATAGCTGTGGGAGAGACATCTGTTTTCGGTTTTGAAAATAAGCTATAGTCAGGCATGATTGCTCCTTTACACAGGCATTTGTTTTCATGGTGAAATACATGGGCGTAGGAACGGCTGGAACATTGCGGGTGCATGGTGCAGAAATCCAGCTCCATGGCCGGTGAAGCGGGGGGGGGGGGGGTAGGGAGCGGCTCCCGAGCGGAGGCTCATTGCGAGCTTTGAGGGTGTAGAACTAGAGTAGAAGGTCCAGATAAGTGCATTTGGAAGCATGGATAATGTCAATATTGGACTACCGCATAAAGTAAAAGCGACTTTCTTAGTCATTTTTGAAGATATCGGGATAAAACTTTTGCCAGTTGGTCATCAGTAGGTATGTATTCAATCACATGTGCTTCATTTCTTCT